GCCACACTCCCCTTGATTTACGGAATCACAGAGCTCTGGAGACATGAGCAATCAGATGAGTCACCAATGCTGATGTTGCCCAACAGCCTCAAAGACACACTGCTGTCTGTGAAGGCAGATTGGAGGATAGAGATGATGTGCCTCATCTAATATAGAAAATTCCAGCACGGAGAAAAAAAATGGAATGATGTAAGTCATATTGAATGAATTCTCTACATTATTGAGTATTTAGACTCCTCAGCTTGGATTACCAGAGCACAATCTATGCTTTAAACCATGCCTTTAGATGCTGCTTCCAGTGAATTCTGAAACAGAACTGAACCATTTTAGTCAGTTAAAAAAAAAAGGCTTTCCTGAATTTGTCATGTCAGATCTTGTTGGCAGCTGTCACTCCTCATAAGTACCAGTTTCAAAGTCTAATGAAAACACCATTCAGAAAGAGATTTTAATTGGATCAAGTCAGGCAATCGATATTTTAAAAAGACATTCATACTTTTACTTGGCAGACTATAAGAGGCAAGTGCATGTATGTATGCCTACATGCTTGGATGCTCGTTATGCCAACGTGTGCTATGTATATTTTCTCCCAAATGTGGGGATTGTATATGAACAACCACTCACCTGAGCATCCAGTTTTTTATGATTCAATGTGCTCTTATTCCTTTTCTCATAGACAAAGGAATAAAAGTAGCACAGTTTCTCCTGTGTGTCTCATCTTTCTGGACTTAATTCTGCACATGACTGCAGAAAATTTACATAATTTACTCGATTAAAGATTTCTTTGACTTGGGAAACCCTATGCTAGTTAAATATAACATGAGTGAAAGGTCAAAGAAAGAGAATAACTAATCCCTTAGCACAAAAAAATGACAATATGTCATAAAGATTCACATTGGACTTCATTAAATGCTTTTATAAAAAATAGATTATGTGATTACCTTGACAGCTATATATCTAACAAAGCTTAGTAATTCTCATACCATATGATTTTCATTAATTTTAAAAAGTCATTAACTCTATGGTAAAATATATTTCCCATATCACTGCTACCTTGTAAGTATATGTATATATCTACTAACAGACATATGAATACATTAATGCATACATGTACAAGTTCTTATATAAAACACATATGCACACATACACATCAATCTTCTGTATATGACTGTACAAGCTGTAACTTTAGTTATAACAGTTCACTCACATAATTTAATTAATCAAAATAAGAATTGTATATTCTATAAAAATTTCAGTAAGTGGTTAATGAGACAATTCTACTGACCTAGTTCACCTAAGAACCCTCTTTCAATATATGTTACAAACTTCTTATTCTTGGAAATAAATTTAGCAAGCCACAAAAAGCCAACTTCTAAAGTGCCAAAAGACGATAACATTACTTCTTAAGTCATTAGTTTGTACTTGATCTAATACATTCAATTATGTCCATATAAATTGTTAGCTGCAGTCTATACCACCTTACTGCAAGCTGGGAAAGAATAAACTTTCTACATTATATGTTTATTTCAAATATGTAATTGAAATAGCAAAAATGTACAAAATATACAGCTAAGTTGTCATCCATACTGTCATTTTTCTTAATGATAGCACTGTTAGCATTATGGGATGTATGTTTCAAGATAAACTTTTAGGAATTCACGTTTTAATCAAACCTATGAAAATCAGGTAGTCCAAAGCTTGTTCTTTATTATACCTAGGGGTGAGATGGCATAAAGAATTATGTGCATGCAGTCTTTGTCCCTGTGATAGGATTAATGAGAAGAAATTTGTGAGATATCACAAGATGTTTTGGAAAAATATAGAATTGCAGTTGCCTCTGGTTTCAGTAACATCTTCTTAAGTTTCAGGTGGAACCCATTAGCTTTCAGTTAATTTTGTTTAGTACTTCTGAGGACATGCAAATTGGATGACTGTTCAGACAAGCCCACTGATTGACTCAGTATGGTGACATATATGAGTGTGCCTCTCATACTTATTCCATTAATCATATTAACCACTCACAAATATATGCTGAATTCCTCTTTTATAGATGTGAGAATTTTTTACTGCCTATGCAGTTAAAATATTCTCTCCCAATTTATTAGTCTGAAATTTGCATATGAATTGTTCAAAACTATGCCTTGTATAACACACAGGGGAGAGTACTGAATTTGAAGGTGATGTTCTGTGAGTTGCTGCTCACAGTTCCCATTGTAGTGAGAGAGCATAACGGTTTCATATTACTATTAACAAGACTAAGTGGTTATTTCAACTATGTTGAGTTTATGACAACTAAATGTATCATAATTTATTTGAAAGGATCTCCCATTGAATAGCTTCGTTTTCAAGGCATTGTCATACAAATTTAACAGTCACTTTAATGTGTTCTAGTGGAACACTTCTTTATTTGATAGTTTTATCACAAAGATTTTACTGTAAATATACAAATAGTTGTTTAATGTCTATGCTGATGATATTGTGATTTATATAAACACGCCAGGCTCAAACACAGAATACTGTAAATTCTGAAATATCAATTTGAGGAAATATTTGCCTCATTTCCTGGCTGCTTTGTAGAGAACCTTTCTTTAAAGGACATTTTCTCAACAGCAGAACATTTTGTGACAAGGAGGACATGTTGAGGACCTCCCTAGTTAATTCTCAGAATTTTCTTTTCCTAATTAAAAAAATACCTATCTATTACTCCAATATCTGAATATAGTATCCAAAGAAGACATGATGACTATATTATTGGGATGCACCTAAGTTTTTTAATGAAGTGATGAGTTTTTAAAGTTTAACTTGGGTTTTTTGCCTTGGCCCAATGAAGACAATGTTGTAAAAAATACATAGCCAACCATCTTCCAAGTTTCAGGACAAAGAGAGTTTGATCCTCCTTAGTAGCTGCCACTTGACTCAACAGTATGTTTACATTTTATAAGCTACTTGTTTATCAGTGTTTCAACAATCAATCCTACCTGTTCATTTTCATAAGTATATAGCCCTCTCTTTAGCAAATATAGTATTCTGTGTTTTCAATTACATTTTTATGAGACAAAAGATTTTTTTCATTCACACAGTAGTTACGTCTAGGATTTTTGAAGAAAAGTATATGTAATTTAACATCCCTGGAAAAAATTTAAGACACCTGTTTTCTAGTCCTTCTTTGAAAGTCTTTCTTCCTTCTTGGTGAATATTAAATCACCATTCTAATCTAGAGAAAGTAAATGGATTTTCTATTAGCTTTCTTGGTACCAACCTTTCAGTTAATCACAGATATAAAGAATACCTAGAATAAAATAAGATGAAATTGCACTCTGTACATTCACCTCTAACGTTCCAATGTGGGCTTGCAAGAAAAACATCAAGCCTTGTTAGACTTTCATAGAAAGCTTTTATTCTCTTTCAGTTTTAAGGGCAATTGCTTATACAGGTTTCTTTGGGGGATTTATTATTTGGGATTATGTCTTTTATTTTCAATGGTACACAAACAAGAAAAAAAGAGAGAAAGAGAAAACAAACTCAGCAGAGAACACTTCCAAGAGTCCAAACTGTACTAAATTTGAGATTATTTCAAATTCACCGCAGCATCTGAGAACACTCATTAAAGTCTGTATTTAGGATTGTGGAAAACTCGGTATATGTTACCAAAGAACAAATTATGTTTCCTAACTGTTATAAGTAACATTAGAAAGAGCACCATCTTTAAACACTCATTAAAATTCACTTTTGAAAATTAGATAATATCAGATACTAAAAGAGCCAATTGCCAGAACAAACTTCTATTAGCTAAAGTATTCTGGCAACAAAACCTGGTTGTTGGATATTACACATTATGATGTTACCAAGGAAAAAACAGCATACATCCAATATAATTTAATCACAAAATGAAAGTGGGAGACCATTGCTCTAGTCATATAAAGTGTTCTGGTAAGTGATCTTTTAAATTAAATACTCAGAAACTGGACCAAACTTATTTTCATATAAGTGAAAAGAATCCAACTTAAAATCCAAACACTGCTTTGAGAATTGTATGCAAATGAGGAAGAGTCTAGCAAAAGTCATACCTCTTATTCATAAATATTTGTGTCACTTAGATCTGAATCAAATTGACAAGAGTTTTTTTCATTTCTTTTGAGGATGTCAAAAGTGGCAAGCACTCTCTTTGATGCTTATCATTATGCTACTGCCAAGTCATCCAATAGAAGTTGACCTTCTATTAGTTACCAGAGGAGCAAGCAAAATATGGAAAATCAGTTTCCTTCTAATAAAACACAAATAGCCATCACTTAAAGAACCTTTGGAAAGAGCTCCAAATCCCAGTAATTAAAAACAAAAGGAAAGCAATGACAGTAGAAAGAAAGCATCCTTAGAAGATTATACAATTCTACACAAGTCTACAGTGGGCCTTCCATATTCTCTATGCTGGTATAATAATGAACGAAACACATATGACACGGCCGTGACTTCCTGCCTGCATGCTTTAATTCAAAGTAAAAGATAACAGCAAAAAGAGTCAAACCTTGGGTCAAATGCTCTTTGGTTTAAATCTTTACTACCTCCTATACTTTTGGTTACCTTACTTGAATTTTAAATTACACTGGCCCTGTCATCTTCACCCTATTACAAAAGTCAATCACCAAGAACCAGACATAAATTTCAGAATGATTTTGTTTGTGAGAATTCATGTTTCTAAGTCGAACCCCTTTATACAAATTGTTTTAGGGAAAAAAATGTAGGGGGGGAAACAGGTGTTTTAACATAGTATTTTATTACAACTTAATCCCATCCTTGAATGATTTTCTTTCAAGTTTCAACCATTTTTTTTAAGTAGTCAGTTTCCTGGTGGTTGCAATTTAATTAAGTAACCTTTCACACTGAGCAAAACCCCAAAGCAAAAGGGTCGTTAATCTTTCTAGTGATTAGACAAACCGCTAGAGCCTCAAGCATTTACCTCTCCTTCCCCGCAGAAGAAATGGTTTTAGGAGGATCACGGTTCATACCTCACACTCCCTGGAGCCAGAGATGGTATATGTGCAGGGACCAGATCCATTAACCGATATATCCATGGTCTCAGTGTTCGTTGGCTTGTAGTCCACGTAGTATTCCTGTAAAGGGGAATTCATTTGTCTCTCTGACTCTCTCGCCTTTTTCCGCCGCCTCTTCATAAGCGAGTGCTGTTGGAGTTGTTTCATGCTGGCAGGGTACCTTTTCCAAGACACATAGATCACCAGGAGAATCATGGCCACAGAGAGGAAGAGAGCCACGCTCCCCGCGATAATTTTGTGAAAGGACACATGCTCGTACTCATGATCCGTACCTGGAATCGGAAAGCCTGGGGATGGACTCGCTGACTCCAGGGTGGCAGGGATGGTATCAGGTTTGAAGATGGTAGGCTTAGGAATGAACGGGGGCTTCTGGGGAGTTTGAGGCGCCAGTGGTGATCTTTCTGTGTTGACCACCTGGACCTCGGAGCAGATGTTGTAAGTCTCCACAGCATCACTGACCTTCTCACCCTGTATGTGCTTAGGTCCTGCACATATCATGGTACTTTCTTTATTACCTTTGAAATTCTTCAGCCAGTAGAACAGAGGACAGATGCTCCGACTGCATTCCCACATATTTCCAGACAAGGTGATGGATATTAAGGATATCCATGCATTCACGGTCTCCTGGGAGACGTTGGTGAGCTTGTTGGAATCCAAATTCAATTTTTGCAAATTAGGCAGACATTTAAATGTGCCAGGCTCTATTGCTTGGATGTCATTCCCTGATAGATCCAAGGTGTGCAAGGAACTCCAGGTCCATGTTAGGCCTTGGCTCACAGAACGGATCCGGTTCCACTGCAGGTAAATGGATCGCAGGTTGAAGAGACGAGGAAAATGAGCAAAATTGATCTTTGAAAACTGATTGTGTTCCAAATGCAGCTCCTTCAACTTCAGAAGACCAGCAAATGCATTTCGGGATAAGCTTCTGAGACGATTGTAGCCCAAATCCAGAAAGTCAAGGTTCCGGCAGTCTTGAAACACCCTTATGGGCACGGTCTTTAGGGAATTAGATCGCAAGTGCAAAATGATGAGTTTCCGGAGGCCTTTAAACTGCTCAGATTGCAAGGTCTGAAGTTTGTTGTAGGACAGATCTAGGTTGCGGAGATTGGGGACTGGGTGAAATGTTTTATTGTGCAGATAGGTAATTTTGTTGGAGCTTAGAATTAATTCTTTCAGTCTGCGGATCCCTTGAAAGGCATCTTCATCCACTGAGCTAATGTAATTATGGTCAAGATAAAGCCATATAAGCTGGTTAAGGCCGGCAAACTGATTGGATTTGAGTTTCTGAATGCTGTTGAACCTTAAGGATAAACCTTGTGACCCTCCAGAAATGTTCTCCGGGATGTCTGCAAAGGCGTGAGACTCACAGTACACAATTTTGCCATCGCATCTGCAATTCTTCGGGCAAGCTCTCTGAGCCCCCGTCAGCATAACCAGCAGCAGGGTGGGAAATAGCACCAGAAACACACTCATGCCTTTCAGCTGCGGGATTTGACGGAAACCTACAATAGCAAAGAGAACACAGATGCACACTGTCAAAAAGTAACAGTACAGCACACTGGCTTGTTGGGATTGGCAGTGTACTGTCTAGTGTAAGAATGGGATAGTTCATTTAAGAACACATTTCAACACTTAAAATCTTTTCACCTAGTGTTCCAAGCTTGCTGTTTAGAATTCAGTCTTTCTTCCTTCATCTTTGTAACACCACAAAGCTGTAAAACTGTGAAAAACCTATCTGAGTTTCAAGAGTTCTTCTCTATCCCAACCCTGAAAAGCCCAGGACATTTCTTTTTCCTGAAAGCTGATATTTGAATAACAATAACATTTGGCTGTCACTGTATTGACCCAAGGGACTATCTCACATCTTTCAGTAAGGTCAGAACTATGACTTAGGAAACCTGGTTCATGTACCTCTTTCATAGTTGAGCAAATAGGCTGTGATTTATCAAAGGAGCTTCAGTGATGCTGTCAAAGTAATCCAAGTTTGTTCTGCCTGAATTGCATACAAGGGTTGCAATCTCTGAGCCCTGAAAAATGGCATAGGAATATGCACAGACAGCCCACAGAACATGGTTCATAACAGTGTGAGATGCCCTCACTTGGTTAATAAACATACATTATTGTATATCTTGGCCCCATGCCCAGAGATGCATGAGCTAAGACAGGCGATCACCCATACTATAGCCACCTCCAGTTGTAGCTAAGATGTCAAATTCTTATTCAAAATATGCAGAATATTAACTAATCGTGTTATTAGATAGATTGCTGTTTTTTAACCTATATAGTCGCCCTTGCAAATTTGAGAAATAAGTAAGGAAGAGGGATACCAACATTCCCAGCAGCCTGACATGCTAAAGTCTCTCACTGAGTCTTTTCATCTCTCCCCTGCCTCCATTAACTTCAGAAAGCCTGCAAAGTTGCAATCTATTAGCATTTATGCCGCATTTTCAAGGCATTGCGTGTGAGGGGACTCCTCTCCACCTTCAGCAGTAGGTAAATTATTTCTTAACTGTGAAAAGAGAGACAGACAGAAGCCAGAAGGGGGGACCTACTGCAGGCTGCAATTTCTTCTCTTCCTTAATAGTCATCTTTTAAACCAAGAGACAATCAGCCAAAATCCTGATCTGAAAATGTTCACTCTCTAGAAGAGTTATCCTTTTTTTCTTTTCTCTCTTCTTCTATTTATTTAACTATTTATTTTAAATTACCTTGATCTTACACTCTGTCTTCTTGTCAGCTACAGGCTCATTAAAATACAACCCAGCTTTCCCAGACAGGAGAAACAGAGAGGGGGAAAAAAGCCAGTCACACTTGAAAAAAATAAAACTGGCAAATGACTCCTGGAAATTTGGAAGCTGTATTCAGGATGCAGCTTCCAAGATCAAACAAGCCTCCGGTGCCACCTCTGATAAAGTAGGGACCCCACCCCTGCACACACACAGCCAAGTGTTAATAGTCTTCCTGAGAGCAACCCGAACACCAGCGTGGCTCATATTATCAGGAAACAGAGGCAAACACACTATTTATTTCATGCTCTGTTCTCAAGCTCTGGGTATGCAGACGCTAGAGACAGTCTTAAAGCTATCCCTCCAGAGTGTGTTTAAGTCCGCGTTATGCATTTACGGATTAAAAAAAAACTGCCAAAAGAAGAGGTTCTAAAAATATAATAGCAACTATAGTGAGACACCTGGTAAAGTAGAGGTTGCTGCTTTTGTGACTGTTTCCTGGTCCTTCAGCCGCTAATGCCCGGTTGAGGATGAGCGGTTAGAATCAGCTTTGCTAAGAGGAAAACAACAAAAGTTCGCTTACCCATCCTTTGTCATCCAAAAAACGTCTGCCCCCCTCTCTCAGCTTTCTTCTTATTTGGTCTCTCCGGTAGAAATCACCACCACCTTCATGACACAGTGCAGCTGTCATTCAAACCATTCTCAGCCCGCATGTGAGCCAGTAGCCCCATGTAAACTTCCCCGGAGAGGACAGGCAGACACATACACACAAATAATAAAGATATACGTATACTTTAAAAAAAAAAAAAAACAGCAGGGGTGCGATGAAGGGGCAGGAAAGAGGAAGCCGCTCCGGTGGGGGGTCGGAGGGGGGAGGGCCTCTAGGCTCTGAGGACCATTGTATAATTCACGAGGGACACATTAGCAGTAAATTGGCAATCTGTGAAAAGAGCTACAGCCCATCTCGGAGGTAACCAACTTCTCTGTGGAAAAAAAGAAAGATAGAGAGAGAGAAAGACAGAGACGGGAAAAAGGGGGAAAGAAAAGAAGAAAAAAAAAAAGAAAGAAAGAAAATCCTCAGAGTACCTGGCATTCCTTATTGTGCTGGCTTTTGCCATTCCCAGATAAAGCAATTCATCCTCAGGATTTTTCAGTTGTTGAAGCAAGCAGGCCGCCTGTGCTGTGTGAGACCCCAGTTTAAAAGCTATGCGGGCTAGGTTTATCCATTTAGCTGGTCAGGTTGAAAGTGTTTTGTAGCTGTGCTGAGAGGCAGCCCTTGTCTAATTCAGAAGGCTTTCCGGAGACTGATGGTGCTCAGAGCTGGTCGGTGCTAATGCTCGAGTTTGTGATACACTGAGTGCCCTCCGCTGGAGAAAACAGATTGCACATTAAAGACGGGAACAAGTGAGCTTGTCAGGGCTGTGCAGCCTTCTCTGCTCAGAAAGGAAGTTAAAGGCACAGGATCACTTTTCCCCTCTCTCTCCAGTGATATAAATTAGGAACGGTGTGTGTCTGGGTTTATGCTTCACAGCTGCAGCAGATGTTAGCCACTTTCTAGGCCTCTCTCCTTCCCAATGTGTGTGATTAGCACGTTTGAAAGTTGTTATGGCCTGAAATGGTTTTCTGTGTGTCACCAATGATACTGTCTCATTTTCAATGACATGAGCAATTCCTTTTGAATTTATGATTATTGTTTACTTGCATTTATTTGTATTTTTTAAGATAGTTAAATAAGAAAGTTGTCCCACAGAGGAGAGAGCACACTATGGTTGATTTATAACAATGTGAGGTGCACACTCACCCTGAACTCTTGGGGAAGGGTCTAGGCCCTGCTCTATATGAAATGACAGACTATGGACACCCCCATAGAGGGCCTCACCCTCCCTGGGGGAATGAGGGGATAAGGGGGGGTTGAGGGGAAGGGCACGGGAGGAGGGGAGGGAATGGGAGAGGGACCTGGAACTGACTTGTGAAGCAACCTCGTTTCTTATCTAAATTTAAACTGGAAAATAAAATAAAAAAAAGAACTTCATTGTGAAAATTTTAAGTCTAATCACTCCATTCTCAGCATTTGTCAATAACATCTATTCTGTTTGTAACTTTGTATATTTATCAAGTGATTTATGATATGGTTCTGTAAAACATCATATATTTAGCCTTAATTCTTTCTCAGCTATACTGTTTTACCAAGTGTCTGGGTAACCAATACAGAACTTCAGACAAGATCTGAATTAAAGCTTGTAAACTTTATTTTAGTCATTTTCCTTAAAAGGCATGCACTTTGGGGATCAACTTTTCTTTATGCTTATTATCCACTGAGTTGTGCAATCCCTCTTGAAAGAAAGAAGCACTCCAGTCCTGTATTATCATGGCACTTCTCTAAAATTTGCAGACTATCCTGAAATTAAGACCGATGAAATCATAAAATGTTTGAGGTGAATAATTTTTCAAAACCTATACACTTTTTCACAAACATGTATCGATTGCTTAAAAATAACAACAATACATTACCTCCACTTAAAAATTAATTTATGTATATGTGTATTTGCCTGCATGTATGTCTGTGCATCCCTCATGAGCTTGATGCCTACAGAAGCCAGAAGAGGGCATGAGATCCCTTGGAACTGCAGTGATGGAAAGTTGAGTCTCTCTGTAGGCACTTGGAATGGAACCTGGGTCTTCTCCAAGCAGGGCACATGATTTTAACGACTCAGCCATCTCTCTGGCCCCATACCTCAATTATGGCATTCCCCATTTTAGTTATTTCATAATTATTGACAAATAATAATCTAAGAATATGTAGGATAATCTAAGAAAATCAATGCAATGTCCTGCAGAGACAATCTGCTGGGTAGAAATGCATATCTAATTGATCAGCTTAGAGAACTTCTAAGGGTTTCTACATAAATATCTACAACTGGTGTGTCTCCTAGCAAATGGATAGTTTTAGAAAAACTTCGGTTTTAGATTAGTTGGTCAAATAGTATTTATTAAAATAGAATAAAGAGATTACTAATACCCATAATTTGACTCAGATTTATGAGCAGAAGATCACAGACATTTGTCTAATTACTAAGATTTCTCTAAGAACAAAAAAGGGGTCATCTGTCCTCTACATGAATCCTCCAATTAACTGATATGCAAGTTTCTATTTTAGAAATATGTGCTTTTGGAATAAGGCTTAATACCTGATAAAATGAAAACTTATTACCCCAAGTGGCAATGTTATTGTGGGTACTGAAAGTAAATAAGTCAATCAATGAAAGTGATACACATACAATCTCTTCAAACTATTGTAGTTCGCCGGGCGGTGGTGGCACATTCCTTTAATCCCAGCACTCGGGAGGCAGAGGCAGGCGGATCTCTGTGAGTTCGAGGCCGGGCTGGACGGATAGCCTCCAAAACAATACAGAGAAACCCTGTCTCATAAAAACCAAAAAAAAAATTGTAGTTCACATGGAGACATAAAACCCACCCATATATTCAGTGGTAGAATACTGACTAAGGGGAAAATTGTTGATTCAGAAAATAAAAAGGGTGCCCTACTGATGGGAGATGTCCTTCTGTATATATGTTTGTCTTATTAGTTGATGAATAAAGCATTGTTTGACTAGTGGCCAGGCAGCAAGGATAGGCGGGGCTACTACAGGAGGAGAATTCTGGGAAGTGTAGGTGGGGAGGAATTAACATGTGAGCCCGGGAAAAGAGGATGTGAGTCAGGCATTCTCCGGTAAATTAAGATCATGTAGAAATTCATAGATTAGTAGGTATGTGTTAATAATTAAGAAAGAAATAGTCAACCACCAGCCAACAGTTTCAAATTAATATGAATCATGTGTGTTTATTTGGGGATGAGATGGCTGTGGGATCAGGCTGGCTGGAAGAACAATCCTTAACACCCTACCAGTAAAATGAAAAGAAAGTTTTTGATTGGCTGACTGGATATTATATATTAAGTAGGGTAGGAAGGATCAGAGAACTCAAGTGCTAGAAGAAAATGAGAAGCAGTAAGTTTGTTTCCAAGAATATATTCATGTGCATGGGGGAAAAATAAAATGTTCAGAGCATATTTCTGATGGAAGATGGAACCAAGGTGTATTTGATTTCATCTGCTGTGATATTTTGTCTATATTTTCTACTTTCTCATCTCATGAATATGGAGTTGGGGATGATGGGATGATGTTTATCTATCCACATATGTATGAGTGTTCTTTTGTTTGAATCCACAATATGAGAAACACTTTTGAGAGTTGATTAAAAAAAGCTAATTTTTGTATGATAATTAGCTACTAATTTGTTGAAGTATGAGGATCTGTGGCTGGAGAGATGACTTAGTGGTTAAAAGTGCTTTCTGTTCTTGCATGGAACCTGAGCTCCTTTCCTGATTCTAATATTAGGAAGTTCAACACCTCTCTACCCCAACCCCCTTAACTAATTTCGATTGCAAGGGGAATGTAGAGCCTATGGCCTCCATATGTGCTCTAGTGAACTCCCAATCACATACACATACCTAAAAGTAAAATACATCTTTTTTTTTAAAGTGTTGAGATCTAATAAACACTGGCTGGATATGGAGCATATAGACTTGGGGGCACCACAACACTCTAAGCTAAATGAAGAGCTCAGGTAATCTTGGCCTATGAGCAAAAGAATGTTTCTCCTAATATCAAATTTAATGCTCCCTTTACACCTAATAGATTCTACATTCCAGAATTTGTGCCATATTATATTCTTACGTTGTAAAAGATGTGTCAAAATATAGACATGAAGCAAATACACGATGATGATGTAAAGAGATACAGAGTAGGTTGAAACATACTCTATGTAAGACTTGTTTGAGAAAAGCCTACTAACCTTTCCTTCTCCCACACATGAGCACACACACACACACACACACACACACACACACACACACACACACACAGAGACTTCTTTAAAGAACAAATATTGGTTTATCACTTACTTAGACCATGAAGCACAGAAAAAGTAACCACTGTGGTTTCCCACAATGAGCCTTCTGTGAGAATCATATCTTATTCTTGCTGAGCAAAACCAGGAGAAGATAAGGGGATTTCTAGAACAAAGGAGATATAGGTCATATTGGACATATCTTCCATGTTCAGGTTTGTCTGGATAAAACCATGAATATGAGCCTTCCATGAAAGGGAAGATGGGTAAGAATGAAGTCAGCTTGAGGTCATCTTATACCCTGATGAGTCACTAAAGAGGAAGAACCTCACTGTTTAGTTGGCTAAAATAACGAAAAAATAACAAATGAAAGACAAACAGAAGTCAACAAAGTATGAATACATATCAGAAAAATACAAAGAAGAGGAGAAATTACATTCTTCATTCATTAATGGCAGAGAAGCTGTTTAGGAACTACTAATATATTTAAGAACAAGAATTTTTCACTGTCTCCTAGACTCAGAGATTACAAGACTTTACAATAGTTTAAGTGATTCCAGTCTCATGGGAAGGTCAAAACAACAGTTGTAAGTGTGGAAGAATACATCAAGATAAGAAAACTAAAGATCTATTGTCTTGTTCTCAGAAAGATGCCTGTCTGGGATTGATGCTCAGTGAAGAATAAGTTAGGAAAATGCTTTTTTCTTTATAATATGCTGTCAAAGGCAGTTCTCTATGCAATATGGTCTCAGGAAGACAAAGACTAGAAGCCTCTGACATAAAATATGAGACCTGACTCATGCATTGTTCCTAGTACATTTACTTACTGATGGGACTTCATGAGAAGCCAGTAGAATTCTTTAGTTGTTACCTCAAAGATCATTCAGTAACTTCTATTTGGAATTTGAAATTTTCCATGATTGATAAATTCACAACATCGACATAACCAAATCCTATAATTCAATGTCTACCCTGTATGTGTGTGTGTGTGTGTGTGTGTGTGTGTGTGTGTGTGTGTGTGTGTGTGTACACCTGAGAAAATGATGGGGAAAATACATGGAAGAGGATTAACTTAAAACTGTATTATATCTGTAACTATGTAATTTTAAACTTTGCAAATATTGGGCAGTATTCTATTCCAATCTGGAATAGAATGGAATCCAATCTGAGGGAGTAATGAAGTTCATCATTTTTAACAAAGAAATGAACTTTAGTCAATGTGAAAAATTCAGATGGTGAAGGCTAGTCAGTTATCTCACTCAATAAAACTAGCTGTGCAGACATGAAGAATTGAGTCAGCTCTCCATCACTTATGTAGAATTTGGGGCATGGTGGCATCAGCTAGTAATCCCACAACTGGAGTGGTAGAGACAGGAAATTATGGGTGTTTGTTGGTCAGAAATCTACCATAGCCTATTCAGTAAGCAGAACATGGAGTCTCAAAACCTATCTACAAAAACAAAATGTGCAATTTCTGTGGGACAACACTCATGCTTGACCTATGTTCTTTG